ATATATATATATAAAACCTCCTTTCACATTCAGTATTGCGTCACTTCCCTAAATGGTTGTTCTCCTTCTGTATGAAAATGTAAAAGAAAGACGTGAATGTGAAAGAAATAAAACTCCAAAACCACATTACACAACACAGGAAATCAGGAAACATTAAGAAAGAAAGCAACAAGACTGACTCTGGCGAAGACAATTCCACCTAGGTGTACTGGGAGAACATCACTGATGGCATGGAGAACAGCTTCTACATGATGGACACCCTGAACTGAGGAACTCCTTTTGGCTACAACTCTGTCATGCAATACGAGAAGTATGCCTTGTCCAGGAACACCCTTCCCACTATGATACCCACTCCCTACAGTAGTATGTCCTTTGGCCGGGCCACCAAGACAACCAAGAACGACACTGATAGGCTAAACAGGCTTTACAAATGGTAAAGTGCACATGACCTTTGACCTGCCGCCTGTATGACATCAGAGCATGCCCATGAAGACAGATGGCAGTTTAAGTTGTCCTCTTGCAATTAACCTGCAAACTTCAAAAGCATTCAAAGCTGATCGCCACCTCACTGACATGGCACCAAATACAGATGTTCACAAGACACTTGAGTCTCTTTTTGTTTTCATAATCACACTTTAAAGAGCATCATTACAGATCAAAAATTAAAGCTATTTTCCTTGTATTATTTAAAGAAAGAAAGAAAATGAATATTACTAACTAAATACAACCACTAGAGGTCACTGCTGCTCCTCAACAGAACAATAATAGTTGAAGACAGATTGACTCTGGTAAATACATAATGTGGAAACAGTGGACGACTTCAGTACAGTGCAGTGGTGTTGTACTGGACTACATTATATTTTAGATACCTCATCACAAGCAAGCCTTTCCACTTTTTAGTCAGCAACAACAATGAATTTTATTTATTTTAAAATTTATTTTTTTAACCATAAAACAAACCTAAGTAAATCTCTTGTACTCCACTTGTGACCTTTACTGAACCAGAGCTGAGGCTGCTCACTGTCTGATCATCTGTAAATGAATGTGAGCAAATAAACATGTGTACATTCAGTGCTGTGGATTTTTCCGAGCATCATCTGACCCCCATGCCAGTGTCACTGCCAATGTGAAAAACTCAACCTTTGATTACTGGTAATGTGGTTGTTTTCCCAGCCTTATCTTTATTGAGATAAGATGGCTGCAGATTATATAACACAAAATTTTAAAACTGTACCTGT